AAGCGCGGCAAATATGGCAGCACTATTGGAGAACATGAAAGCGGATGTCAACGACCTTTGCACGGAACTAGAGACTGCGGCGGAAAAACTGGCTCAAGCTAAGGATGCGGAGGCTGCCAAGGATGCTTGTATCCTTGAATTGGAGGCCAAAATGGCGGCACAAGCATCGGTCACAGGCAAGCACCGTTTGTCAAGCCCCTCCTCCAGCAAGGCAACATCATCGGCTGACAGTGGGGGTGGCCCCCCTGGCAGTGGTCCCTAAGCACCAACGGTCCCGTCACGCATGGTTGCGGCGTTTGACAGAAGGCCAAGGTCAAAATCTACGCAACAAACACACATCCAGCCAGGTGGCCGACTCCTCGCTGGATGCTTATTTAAACTCTCTCCCTCCCGGTAACTACTTCGGCAATGACTCACGCCAGAAGTCTCCTTGCGTTACCCGGGTCCTTTTTCAAAATGTTGAGGGTCTTCCATTTCCTATGACACATGAGAAACAGAAAGGGCTCTTCAAGTGTTGGACGGATGAGAGAGTGGGCATTGCACTGCTGGCTGAATTCAATGGTCAGCAGTGCCCAGAGGACTCAAGTGGTCTGATCGGGTCAAGTCCTTCACTAACCAGGGACATTTCTCTTCAGTGTCTTACTACAAACACCAGGAGTTTCCAACTCCCACGGCGCATCAATGGGGCGGATCTTCTGCTACATTACTCCACAAGGTCGCGCGCCGTGCAAAGTCAGGCGGCAAAGATGAGTCAGGGCTAGGCAGGTTCTCATGGATCAAGATCCGGGGCAGGGACATCCGACAGCAGGAGTCTCAAACTGATGGCCCCCTGGCTGGTCCTTTAGATCTTGTGGTGGTCTCTGCATATCGTCCAAACAAGGAAGGTACCAATGCTGGTAGTGTTTGGAACTACCAACGGAATTACTGGCTGAGCAAGGGGGTGACTATGGATCCCCGTGACAAGCTCACTCTGGATTTGGTGGACCTGATCAAACAATGGAAAACGGAAGGGTGCAAGATTCTCCTTGGGTTAGATGCAAACGAAGATGTCTCCTACAACTCTCCCTCTTCCTTCCGCCAAGAGATGCGGTCAGCAGGCCTGACCGAGGCCATCTTACGCCGACATCAGGGCCCTTACCCAGCGACAACCCAAAGTTGGACGACGGATACTCCCATCGATGGTATATTTGTGACCGACGGCGTCCGTGTCACTGCAGGTGGATACTTGGACTTTCAGCAGTACTTTAAGTCGGACCACAGGGGACTCTGGATCGACATTGACCTGGAAGCGACTCTGGGGGCTCCACCGGTGACCTCTCCTTCCTTCCAACCACGTCGGTTGACACTGGCTGATGGTCGGTCTGTGGACCGCTATATTAAGGCTGCGGAAGCAGGCTACCGGCATTGCCGCCTTCCCCAACGCTTGACCCAATTAGCGGAGGATATTTTGGTCCAGGACGGTTACCTTACAGCGAATCAGCAAGATCAATTCAACACCATTCATTGCCAGGCCTATGAGATCCGCCAAAAGGCTGAGCGTAACTGCCGGAAAGTGTCGATGCGAAAGGTTCACTGGTCACCACAAATGCAGCAGAAATGGGATAGATTGCACCTTTACCAGCTCCTGATCTTGGGCTATAAACAGGTTCGGACTAGTTCACGGAAGGTACGGCGTTTGTTGAAGAAGACCGGTCTGACCAATGCATGGAAATTGTCAGAAGCTGACCTCCAGGCAAAGTGGTACCTTGAACATCAAGACTACAAAGAGGCCAAGCGGAAGCGTGCCCATCAGTGGCGTCTGGAACATCTGGAGATCCAATCGGCAGCGGTCCAGAGAGCAAAGAAGGGCAACATCAAAGCCCCTACCAGACGGACTTGAGTCCAGCGGATGGCACAAAAAGAAGAGACCCGACGGCGACGGAAAGCTCAAGGCAAAGGCTTCTCTGGTGGCCTCCAGCAGATCAAAGTGGCCCAGGTGGCCCAGGATGGTACCTCCCATTGGGTAACATGCCAGTCTAAACGTCTTGCGGAAGAAGGCTGCATGCAAGAGAACCGGCTCCGGTATGATCAGACCCGCTACCCCTACCCCACTCCCCCCATGACTGAACCTTTGTACTCCGACTTCAATGGCCCCAATGCCAAAAGTAACAGCCAAGCACTGCTCCGTGGTCTCTATGAAGGCGAGACAGCGGATCCTTACCTGGTGTCATTCCTGGACCATTGCCGACGGCCGGAGGGCTTGGAAGATCAGCCACTGGAAGTGGATCTGGAGGACCATGTTAGCTTCTGGCGTAAGATGGGGGAACACAAAGGTTCGAAGCCACACGGCTTGCATAATGGCCATTTCAAAGCGGGAGTAGCATTCAACTTGCTGGCCTGCTGCGACACCATCTTTCGCTCCATCCCTTTTGCCACAGGTTTTGTCCCAGCCCAGTGGTGCCACTTGCTCAACTTTGCAATTGAGAAGAAACCAGGCAAGATTCGGGTGGACCTCATGCGCACAATCCAGATGATGAATTCGGAGCTACAGGCCAACAACAAGAGAGTGGGGAAATCGGCCATGGCCTACGCAGAGAAGCACAACTTGATCCCAAAAGGACAACATGGGTCTCACAAGCGCCACCAGGCCATTGATCTGGCCCTTACAAAGCGTCTCACTTGGGACCTCTTGCATCTTCAACGCCGCCCGGCCGGGTGGATCTCCAACGATGCCAAGTCCTGCTTTGACCGGATTGTCCACTGGGTGGCAATCATTAGCCTCATGCGCTTTGGGATCCAATGGCGTACCCTTCGCTCCATGTTTGATACACTGATGAAGTCTAAGCACCGGGTGCGTACGGGGTTTGGCGATTCAGACCGTGTCTTTACTCCTCCAACCCTGATTCCATTTCAAGGATGTGGACAAGGCAATGGGGCAGGACCTCCTATCTGGGTTGCAATTAGCTCCATTCTCTTGGGGATGATGATTAGCAAAGGCTTTGGCTTTGACTTTCTGATGTCAATCTCTTTGGCTCCACTCTTGGCCGATTGCTTTTGTTTCGTTGATGACACTGATGTCTGCCAAGCGGCACCGTCTCCTGACCAATCTGGGGAATCTATCGTCCCAGAGGTGGCCAAAGCACTGAAATGGTGGTCCAACGGCGTCCGCCTTACTGGTGGCGCCATCCGACCGGATAAATCCTTTTGGTATCTGATTGACTTCAAGTGGAATGCCCGACAAGGTGTATGGAAATTCCGACGGAAGGGGGATTTCAAACCATCTCTTCTTCCCACAATGTCGGAAATTGCGGTTGAACTGGATGATCTGGATGGCACTCCAGTGCATCTACGGTGGTTGGAACCGGACGAATCGGCAAAGACTTTGGGTATCCTGATGTCTCCCTGCACAAACAGGAAAGCACAACTTGTGGTGATGCAGGGAAAAGCAAAAGCATGGGCGGATCAGATCCAACCTAGCTTCCTCCACCAATACAATGTCCTTCCTCTCCTTCGCACCACAATCCAGAAGACTTTGGAGTACCCCATGGCGCTCACCTTCTTCTCCCAACAGGAGTGGGATCAGCTCCTATCCCCAGTGCTCAGGGCGGCACTTCCAAAAGCTGGTATCTGCCGCAACTTTCCTTGTGCTATGGTCTATGCCCCATTGCACTCCAAGGAGTAGGTGTCCCTCATCCGTACGGTCTCCAAGTCATCAAACACTTGGACATGCTACTTCGTCATCCTGCCAATAAGACCAAGACGGGCGCCTTCTTGGAGGCAGTCCTTCAGGCACATCAGCTTGAAACTGGTACCTCATACGGCCTCTTCCAACAAGTCTATGCCAACACCTCCATCCTGGCGTCTGACACGTGGGCAAATCGGACCTGGAGTGAACTCGACTCTCTCTCCATCCACCTGGAGTTTGATTCCCCCTCTCTTCAGCCACTTTGCCAAGGAGACCAACTGCTAGTCGACCTGTTCATCAACTCTTTGGTGGACCAACTTACTTTGAAATGGCTCAACTGGTGTCGGATCTTCCTGCACGCAGTCACTCTTTCTGATATTGTGAATGCTGAAGGGACCGCAATTACTCTGAAAGCATGGAAAGGGCTAAGAGCGGACAGCTGTTCAGATTGGTACCAATGGCCCCGTACGGCTCGTCCGTCTAACCAATGGTGGACTGCTTGGCAGCAATGGATTTCTACTCACCTGACCGGCCACTCCAACCGACGCCGTCTCAGTTCTCCGTTAGGCCCACGGCATTCCGTTGACTTATCCTGGAAGTGGCAATACTCCCCCTCTACGGGCCGCTTGGCTGCCTCCAACCCCCGTTTCTTCCACGAACCTGTGTCTTTATTCATCGACGGTGTTAAGTCTTCCAAACTGGATCAGGCTCACATCATGGAGCTGGTCTCTCTTCCTGCCCTTTGAGCATATTGGTCCTCCAAGGACCGCCTCTCCGAGCAGTCCATCCGTGAGGTCGATTGGTTATCTCTTGCATGCGCCATGAAGGCCCTCCCAGCAAATCTCCAACGCTGGACACCTAAACATATCTTCGGTATGACAGGCGTGGGAAAATTCTTGGCCATTTGGAACCGTTTGGCGAAGAGCTCCTGCCCCAGATGCTCCTCCTGCCCCGTGGAAGATCACCTCCATGTCCCACGCTGTTCTGCTCCTACTGCAGCTGCAGAATGGTCAAAACGCCATCTGGCCTTCCGGACCTGGATGCAGACTCAGCAGACTGCCCCAGAGATCGAAGCCTTCCTCTTTGACTACCTGAAGACAGTCCGTCAGCCTTCCTTGGGCGTCCCCACCGTCCGAGCCTGGTCCCGCCATCCCCACCTCTTCCGCAGTGCCATCTCTTCCCAAGCCACGCTTGGGGCCCAGGGCCTCCTTGAAGGCCTCGTGTCCCCCAACTGGCGACACCTGCAGGCCCTTCACTTCTCCTACATTGGCTCCAAGAAGTCCGCCAACCTTTGGGCCTCCCGCCTGATCCAACAACTGATCAGGATCGGGCACTACATGTGGAAAGACCGCAACCGGCTTGCCCACTCTGAAGACAGCTCCTGGTACACGGCTCGCAAGCGGGAGATTGACATTGGCATCCGCGAACAGTTTGCAATGGGCCTGATGGATATCCCCCCACACTCGCAGTACCTCTTTCGGGACTCTCGCGACACTGTCCTCAACAAATCACTCAAAGATTGTCAACATTGGCTGCGCCTTGTCTCCCGTGAGAGAGCGATCAACCGTCGCTCTCTAGCCAGGCAACGCCAGATGATCTTTGACTTGGCGCGACCCGCCAACCCAACATCGACTCGGACAACCGGCGCTAGTCCATAAACAGTCAGATGTCTCGGCCATCTCTCTGTCCATCTATGTTTCACTCTCCCTCTGTCGACCACAGGACTAGGGAACTGCAGTCTGTCACGTAGATGGTCGCCACCTTGTTCTGGAACACTGTGCTATTGGGACGCTCTCCATTCACTTGGATTGATACGCCCAGGGCATTAGGGCGCAAGAACAATTGGTTTCCGACCTGCTACACAATCATGCCCACCATCACCTTCAAAAAACTCAAAAAACAAAATAAAAATACACCGCCCCGAGTGGCAAGATCGTTTCTACATGTGCAAGGGTGCAATGTAACATCCGATGAGAGCAACTTCCCTGGGATTGGATGCCTCACACTGGTTCAACAGTACTGGACTCACCTCCGTATGGTAAATGGCCATGACAGCCGTTAACGGCAATCTAGAAACTTGAGAAAGTTTTAATATGATTAATGCATCAGTTATATACAAGTCAAGATCATCAAGTGTGATCGGGCGTTAATTCCTCTCACGGATGATATGCTAGACAATATGGGTGTTACTATTGACCCGACTGCAGCTGGAGACCAGGAGCCTACCGCTGAGCGAAACAATAGGACGCTGAAAGAAAGAGTCAGAGTAGCTCTTGCACGATTACCCTACAAAGTGGTCCCAAAAGTGATCACTGAATGTCTTGGATGTTGAGCCGCCGAGCTATTGAATGTCTTTCCTCAAAAAGACAGTATCTCATCACATTTCAGTCCGCAACAACTCATTGATAATGTCAGTATCTACTACAAGAGTGACATGTTGCTGAACTTGGACAATATGTTCATGCAATTGGGACGGATTCCAACAATTCAATGGAACCCAGAAGTATCAAAGCGATTTACATTGAACCTACAAAGGGACAACGTACTGGGCACCGAGTGCTCAACCTCAATACTAAGAAGATGATTTCCCGACCCAAGGTCGTTGTACTACCCGTTACCAATCAAGTAATCAAGCGTGTTGAAGCTTGGGCTGCTGCTGAAGGTGTTGCTTCCATGAAGTTCTTTGATAAGAAGAGAGATTTGGAGACATTTCAAGATGGCGATCAAATTGTAGGAGTGGATGACACAGAACAGGGTTACTTAGAAGAAGCCTTTGATCAGGACTATGAAGCTGAAGATGAAGACGAATGTGATTTCAACCTACATGGACAATTCGATGATATCGATGACTCCAAAAGAGAAGAGCTCTTGGCAGATGCAGACAATGATGTCGATGATATGCCAGAACTCACTGTCAGATTCCAAGGAGATGATGACTATGAATCAGAGGACGATTTGGGTGATGAAGGCGATGAAGAGGAAGAACCTATTGTGGCCGATTTGGATCACCATCGAGGAAATGTCGATAGAGGAACCGATGATATTGGGAGCCTCGTTACTGATCTGGAGGTCCTACAAGAGCCGCCATATATATATAGAACTGAATCATTAATTGGTTTTTATGCTACTTCTAGAGTATCCAACTGCCGGTGTAATACGGCTGTAGAGGCCAGGAACTATGCTGCTTTTAGTCAGATAAGTTTGAACCACGTTGAGGCATTTTTC